TTTTTCTTTCAAAGTCTGGTAAATCATTCATCCACAATACTTTAATTGTGACCTGTGTTACGAATATTGTATCTCTTTCCCTCTTGTTTTGTGGCATTTCAACTTGCAGTACCTGTTTTGATACCATGGCACGATTCTAGTCGGCATGAGTCAAGAGTATTTGGGGAAATTCCCAACTGTACATCATAAGGGCACCTCAACATACATTTAGGGGATTTTTATACTCCTAAGAATAGTACCGACAATATGCCTTATATGGCCTCGGACACGGATGAGGAATGTGCCCTTGCCAGTGATGTCACCCTCAAGTGGTGTATGAGGGTTAAGCAAGCATCGCCCATTCTGGTTTGACCAGGAAAAAAAAAAACACCCTTGGTTTGAAACAAGCAATACAAAAAATGCCGCGTAATCTTGATTGTATACATTTTTAGCAAAGCGATTCACATTTTGGTTTATCGTGCAGGTGGCAATGTTATCCATATGGATGAACGTAGATGTGTGGAAATACTGTGGTAGATTATGGGAAACATATGTAGAGGTCGTGTGGCCACCGCGCCAGGGTTGAATATAGGGGTCACGCAAGGTACAAGGGACCACGCCAAGATAAAGAATTAAAGAAAGGCGTGGAATAAAGGGATCGGGGATTAGGGGGGGGGGGAAACCCAAAATATATATTCGCAGACGAGAGGAGAGAAGGTACATAAATAACTAAACTATAAACAAACTCTCTTTATTTTAGCAGGTAAAGCTATATACTGCAGCTATTATTTTTTTTTCAGAAGGGACCTGACCGCAAAATGATAGCTCACCCAAGTCGTTTAACCATGTGGAAATTTTTATAGCAGCCAAACATTCGAAAGCATGTTTCTAAATGCGGGCGGAAAGTGTGGCCGTGCAGCTGCACGTGAGAAACACTGGCGGAGATTCGCATATCGATGATGAGAAGGCCCAGCCACCGGAGGTGTGCCAATGACAAACCCCTAAGTGCAAGAGGTACACATGATGAGAGGCACAGAGAGTCGGAAATAAAAGCTGACATAGGCAGGTAGGATGGAAACGTCACAGTCAATTAAGACTATACTTGGTTAATAACGTTCTTAAATCAAAATTTAACGTCCTTGATTGTTCAGTTTGTACCCATCTTCTCGGTTGAAGTTGTGTCTGTGTTTATTTATCTGGATGGCTTCATGAACAAATCTCTGATGATAGCTGGTGGGTTTGCAGATTACCTTCGTCTTGGAAAAATCTATTTCGTGTGAGCCCACAGCGTTAAAACAATGATCAGCAACGGCAGAGGTATTGGTCCTACCGTGTTTCAGATCTGCCTTGTGTTCGCGAACGCGGTCCGAGACATGTCGTTTCGTTTCCCAAATGTAACTGCTGCCGCAGCCACAACTCAGTTTGTAGACACCAGGGTATTGCATGTCAGGAATCCCATCCTTTACAGATGGGATCAAATCACGGAATTTGTGTACTGTGTTGAAATGAACCTGGATCTTGTGTTTGTTTGAAGATTTTTGAATTATTTTTGGTAACCTCTGCTATGTATGGCAACGTGATGGTTTTGGTTGGCTCCTCAGATGGTTGTCTCCCCATGGCTGGGGAGACAGCTTTGCGGATTGTACGGTCAGAATATCCGTTCATCCTGAGGGCTTGGCGTACGTGCTCCAGCTCACTGGCAAGGTGGTGCTGGTCGGAGATACAACTATAATAAGGTTGCTATTTATTTTAAATCAAACAAATGTATGTAACAATTGGCATGCTATTTTTAATAGAGCATTGTGTAGGGTTAGAGTGTTTTACACAGTACAGTAATCAGTGCCTCTATCTGAATATCAATGTGTAGGGAACTGTACAATAGGAGGTTCTGAAAGGGTGCGTTGAGATGGTTTGAAACAGATTGCCGGAAGGCACTGCAAGCACACGTGTTATCATTTATTGGTGGACCCACTGTCCGATAGGGGTGGGGCCGAGCGATTATATCAAGGACTAATCGACGACCAGAGAGGTGGGCGATATCGGGGCCAACTGTTCAAGATCGACATAGTGGAAACCACCGGGCTTGATTGTTCAAGATTAAACCTGGTGGAAACCACCGGTGCTGAAGATAGCCATAACAATTACGAGTGTGGCAGTCGTTACACTCAATACTGTATATTCGTTGGGAGAAATTAAGCTCAACTCCTCCTGAAAATGGATGTCTCCAAGGAGCTTATTTACAAATGTTGTCTTTGTACCACAGCTATCATTGTCCCACTCTTCAAACACAACCCCCATGACTGATGTGGAGTCCTTCATCCAGCAGTGGATTGGCAAAGGGCTGTATACTCCTGCACTACAGCTTTCATTAAACATAACCTGAAGAAACAATTCTAAATGTGCTAATCACTTAGTATAAATATTTTGTCATTCAAAGACATGTAGCTATATTATAAAATACATTTGATATTTCGTCAAACTTTTAGGTCTTCAATGTTATGTTCTTCAATCATTGAGTATAGTTAAATTACATTAGTTGTAAAATATGAATGAAAAAAAAAATACCTGTGAAATAAACACATGAGGGTTCTTATTCTGTTCGATTGAATTCTGAATACAGAATCGGTGCACATGACTAAATATTGTCGTATATGACCTTTCAAAATGTCTTCTCTTTTAAATGACTCAATATCAAAATAACATGGAAATAATGCCATTCCTGATAAACAGGAAGTCCGCATATACCCAGCTCCCAAGCAATGCAGTTTTTAAATAAGGAAATTTGTTCCACTAAAAATGACAATTATAACAATGCGTGTATGACTTCCTCACTTCTCCACCCACACCATAAGATCCTGTTTTTGATGCAAGCATTTGGCTATGACCTAACCACTGCAGTGAGATGCCTTCATCCTATTTATTAGCAGTCTTGATGTATCCACCCGTTGAGTGAACACCTATCACAATCTCTCAGTCTTGCGATGCGACCGCCCATATCACTTCAATGTAAAATTATAGTTGTTGCTCGACATCAACATCAGCCATATGAAGATCTCACTCGCACACATTAATTGATTTCAGCACTCCATCGCCCTGGGGGTTAATAGCGTCGTGTGTGTTATTGCCTTTAGATGCCCATACAACGACGAATCTTGTCCATTGGCCATCAGCCCTTTTAACTGATGTGTGTTAAGCCCACTTACTATCCATAACAGTTAATGTTGATGCCTATAATTAGCATTTGTTCCGTGATCCATGCATTTCTCTCCGTTTCTTAGTGTCGCTTCTTTGCACACTTATCACGGTTTTCTTGATTTTTTTTTTTTAGTGTCCATTTATGTATGTTGAACTTCGGTCACACCGTACGTAGCCAACCGTGCTAATCGGAGGTGCGGGGAATCGGAGGTGCGGTCCATGTTATTGATCTGTATCGCATAGTGGGTAATACGTACTTATTGAAAACGTCCAGTTAAATTGGTATGCAGCTTTTCATGATCACATTTTTTTCCCCAAAAGTACTCCCATCTTCCTCGAATTCACGCAAATGTTTTTTCTAATTTTGATCCCAATCCACCTTCAATAACAGCCCTAGATATACATATAGGATACACATTCTATTTGTAGGACATTTTTTTCTCATAAAATTATTCAATGATAAAAAAGGCTTTACCCTTTCTGTCATAAATACAGGTGTTAAAATGTTCAAACACCAAATAGACGCATATTAGAAGGTATTAAATCTGCATTAACATACTTGTGGTAAAAAATGCAAATAAAAATGATTCTATAATTTGTACACTTTTCTTGAAACTGATTCGCTTACACCAGAGGCTTTGTCGCACCAATGCTGGAACATAGGCCACCAAAAGGTGAACAGTACTACGTGACTTTACCGAAAGAACCAAGAATATAGTACTAGGACAATACAAACACCAAAGCATAAAAAACTTTGGTTAAGTAGTTATAACTGCTTGTATCTGTTCTAGAGTGGCAGTTATAATTGCTTAATGCTGTGTGGTTTGAGTAGGAAAAAGTGTACAACTGGTGGTGGTGTTGACCTTTTGTGACCTGACCTATTCGTCTTGACCTGACCTTTCATACATATGCAGTAGTCGTATATGGAGACGGAGTCGTAGTAGGAAGCAACTCTTTTATTTATATCTTGTAACAACTCACTAAGACCCTAACACGAAGGGGAAATGGCCGCTTCTACCCACAACCTGTGGAGGTACAGCCTCTGGACTATCTATCCTAGCCTACTCCTATAGTCCTCCGGCTGGCTGGAGCTAAGGAGGCTGACCCACCGCTGGCACCGGTGGGTCTCTGACCACTGGCCCGTCCAGACCCGGCCCTGAGAAGGACGTCGGGCTGAGGGAACCTCAGGGTCCTAGCCTCTCGACCTCTGGCACCGCACTGAGCCCCGGCCCTTAGAAGGACGTCGGGGCTTGGGGTCCAGGGTCTCGTCTCCAGGTGGCTCCTCGACTTCGGCTTGAGGCGAACTGCCCTCTTCTCTCAGGAGCCAGCCTTTTATTCGATTCTCCCACCGAGGGGCGGGGTTCCGAGGGATCTGTGATCCCTCGGGACCCCCTCCCCTCAGGAGGGGTTCTGGCCACAGGAAGCCCAACCAATCTGTTTGTTTGATCTCACTTTCTGCCTAGGGGCAGGGTTCTGGGGGATCACACACACACTCACACTCCACAGCCTCTACCCCTCAGGCGGGGTCTTGGTCAGGGTTATCACTGACCCCGCTCTGGTAGGTACCGTGTAGCGTGTGCGTGTTTACAGAGTGACCACCACATATTTAGGTTAACTTAGGACGATGTATTGTACCTGCTCTGGAGTCGGCTTGAGAACAATTATCGTCCTTTTGGATGCAAAACGTTAAAACATTTTCTGGTGGAAGTAATGCGGACGGGTCGATGTTGAGGGATGAATGGTGATCTGGTGGAGAATGTTTTATGTAAGTCATTCGATTACCCATCTGTTTCACATTGCTTGTTTAATATGTGTGTCGTATGCAGGTGGCGCTTTCTTTGTTTTTGTGGAAGATACCTTGTCTGCAGAACTTGGCCGTGACTTGACAATCCCGTGTACAACAGATGCTGATTTAATGAAATTGGCTGTTCAGTGGTACATTGTAAGTACCCTTTGACTATATTCAAACTATACCATGTTCTGTGCATTACAAGACACCCTTTCCCCCCCCCCCCCCTGAATTTCAAAGCAAAGGTTGGGGGGGTGCTTCTGTAAATCTGGTAGGCATCTGTGTGTAACCAGGTTTGTATTGTGTTATTGACACCGAGCACAATTTTGGTGTATGCCTTACTTTCTGGAGCACACATAATCTGGAGAATATGGTAATTATTATGAATTGTACATCTGACTTTTGCGTGTATGTTTCCCTGAGAGTGTGACTGTATATTAATGCAAATCCTCAAGATAAATCTTTAACATTCGGGTTTGTATCATTCTCATCCCAAAAGTCCCATTCTTGCATGGAGTCGACTGCTCAGATTTGATTCCTCCATCTACACCCGACATTACTCGAACAGCCAGGTTTTCCTCGGTGAATGCATTCGTCGTTGTTACAATTGTCAATGAGTTTCATTATGGGTTATTCTTGAACTTGGACCTTTGTTACGTGGTCAGGACGAGCACATAACACTGCAGGGGAATTACCCCGTTCAGCCACCCTGAACACTTTCTCGCCTCGTATCTCCTTCCCCATCCTTTCCGGAACTTTCTTTAACTCTACACCAATCCCCTTTGTTTCTTCTAACGGTTACCCAACAACCTACCCCTCATTTCTAAAATTTTCTGGGCTCAATTTTGATTTGAAGCTTTCGTGACTGCAGGAATTCATACTCTTTGGTTCTTTCGGTAAAGTCACGCAGATAGAAAAATAAATAACAGATCAATAATTGTGATCTATTTTCTATCTACGTAATTTCCTGGGCTCATTCAAATTACCCCAATGGCCAATCCAATGCGAATGGTTCCGCAGCTTCTAATCAGATTATGCGCCTACGTCGGCTTGCCCTGTGATAACTCACCAATGGGATTCGAGCACGCTATATGAACTCGCACACCTTTTGACCAAGTATATATTTATGAATGGAGTTGTTCGCCTCTCAGCATCCCTTACACAATTATTAAAGAGGACATTGCTGATAAGGGGGCACTGGATATATTGGCTTTGCTTCAGGCACTGATGGACATCCCACTGTTTTTCTGCTACTGCACTTCAATATTGATTAATAATATGCACTCAAATGCATAAATGCTGGATAATATAAAATCATCGTTGTCATTATTTATAAATTAATATAATTACTTTTACACAACTGTTAGATAATTAAAATATCCTAACTTGAGAAGCATGTGGGTTTTGTATTCTGATGAGGTGCCATGTGGTTGAAGGTCAGATGTGAGAGGGTTGTGTACTGTAAACATTAAACAAAGAACCACCTGTTGGGCAAGGCTCCGTCGCTGTTCTCTCCAAGGTGTGTGTTTTTTCTGAATTCACTTCTTGTATGAATACATCTCTGCCCATTTTAGCTCTGCGGATTACCTCGGGCAACTCACATCGCCCCTCATCTCATTACAGCTCTACCTTTACGATATCTCTGGTGCCTGTCTCTCGTGCTTGTCCACGTTTAGTCTTTCATCTCACTACACCTCTGTTGTTTGTATCTTCTGTAACACAACAGCGTTTAGCTTGTCTGCATATGGTTTTTCATGTTACGCATCTCTCTTCAATGTCACGACATCTTGTCTACGTGTATCTTCTCCCATCACGACATATTCACCAACTGCACCGTCTTGTATTGCCATACAAAAATGCGCTTTTTTGATGAACCCCTACTTTGTGTCACTCTTCCAGGTCAAAGCAGAGGGACGAACAAGGGTGTACTTCAAGAAAGCAGGCGTGACGTTTCCTTCTGAGGATCCCCTATACCAGGGTCGGCTCTCAATTGTTGATGGCGTCTCACTTGTTGTGAAGAATGTGTCTCTGGTTGACCAGCGGGAATTCATTTGCAGCATCACCTTGGCCGCCACGGAGGCTAAGTCAACCAAAGTTAACGTCTACGGTGGGTGCAGCAGTGCAGAAATTGGCTGCTTTTAACAATGCTTACAGGACACCATTTAATGACGCGGGGGGTGGGGTTACATTCTTGGAAAGTGCCACGAAAGCCAAAACCCGCGATATTCAATACTTAAGCTGTACCTAAATAATGGGGTTAGGTAGGTACACTGCGACCAAAAATAGACACATCACGTTTGAAATAAGTACTGTACTGTATGCCAAATTTAAAACAATATAATTGAAATGAACATCTAAAAGCCCTACACAAAAACTTTCCAAGACAAATAGAATAAATACTGAATAAATACCGTATTACCAATGATGATGATCCAAAGCGCGGGGCTGTGTGTGTGTGTGTGTTTGTCCACAAGTGGGGAACGGTAGTGCTATGGTTAGCACGCTCTGCTACGAACCTGGCGACTCGGGCCGCTCATGCCCAACACCAGTGACGATTATCTCAATCGGTCCCAGGCCTCCCCTAAGTCGACTCGGCCTCAAGTGAGAACCTGGTGCGATGTGTAAACATTGCCACTGGGAAGACAAAGGCGGCCGGGCTTGGTGCTGGCCACCCACTCCCTTCGTATGCCGTGCTGGCCTTCGTAGGTGCTCGCTAATAGCACTTGCTATACAGGCTATACGGGGGATCTTTGTCTTTGTCCACGAGATGCTTGGAGGGAGCGGTGGTGTAGCGGTTAGCGCGCCGCGCTATGAGTTCGGCGACCCGAGTTCGATTCCCGCTCGCGGCCAACACCAGTAACGGTTATCTGAACCGGTCATGGGCGTCCCCTAGGTCGACTCAACCTTAAATGAGTACCTGGTGCGATGGGTATAAATGTCGCCACAAGCAAGACAAATGTGGCTCGGCGTAGTGCTGGCCACCTACCCCTGCGTGTGCCGCGCCCCGGCCTTAATAGGTGCTCGCTAACGGCACTTGCCTCGCTCAGCAGGCTGTTACCAAGTCCTGCGGGGGTTGTCTTTGTCCGCGAGATGCTTTCACGGCAACGGTTGTGGTGCCACTGACTGCCTCGTGTTCCTCGCCCGCCCCTTCCTGCACTGCGGCATCAGCCATAGAATATGGTACTTCCGGGTACAGTATGCCCGCGAAAGTCCAAAACTGACCCACGCGATAGCTCGGTTGGTATATAGGGAGGTTGCTCGCGATAGGTAAAAACCGCGAACGATAAACCCGCGATATTCAAGGCTCTGTTTTTTATCAGAAGACATGTAGCAGGCTAACGTTTTTAGCCCAGTGTAATGCCCCCCTGTTCCATGTACACATTTGAGCCAAGCCTGTAGCAGGCTGTGGTATTCCACCAGCAATTTGCTGCGCCAAGTTGTAAACAAATTGTGATACATTGTCCTCACAAGACATTAAATTTGGCTCGGCCAAGCAAGGCCGGGGGATAGGCTAATGACGTCACTGCATGTAATTAGCATGGTTAGCTACCTCCGATTGGCACGGTTGGCTTCGTACGGTGTGAAAGCAGTTCAACATAGTATATTGCGAGAACACAATGTGACCGCGTCATCTACACGTGTCTCAGCTCATTCGCTGCATGTGACGTCAATGGCACGGCTTGGCTTTACAGTGGAAAACAACCTGGCGCCTTCTGAGCTGTCCTGGGCTGCCTCGGTACAGCCCCCATAGCACGGTTAAACGGCGATGAAGAGGTGTAAATTTGTGCTTTCGTTAGTTTCTCCAAGACGTAGCACTTTGCCAGATTTGAATAATCCTCTGCCAACCTGATAACTGAACCCCAGATGTCTTCCACATTCAAATGAGCAGTGGAATGGCGCTCCTCTCCATTGGTGGCCCCCCGAGCTAGAGTTGTAAATTCCACATTTTGTGGGCAGAGCCCAGTCTCTCCATTAGACTACCACTTTTTTACTTCCCACAATAAAAGTGATGCTCATTTGTACCCACTATATGGAGTAGGGATCATTTACTGAGTTAAGTGTTTTAAACACAGCGCTACCTGGTCATATGCATATCCTAAGTGTTGTGTATTCTGCATATTTCATTTCATTTTCTAGCAAATCCTCGCCTGGAATTGTCTCCAAGTACAGAGCCACTTATCGTGAACAACAAATTTCAAAAGGTAAGTGTCTCCAGTGGCCTAGACTGTGCCGTATATCCCCCTTTATGTTTCTTGGTAAGTTAAGGCAGCATAGACCAAACGTAATAATCACAAAGAGGTGTCCATGTTTTTGGCACAGAGGATGTTAGAACATGCAACCTCGCAGTGGTAAACAGGTTTGGAAACGTCGCTTTTAAACCTTGAGTCACAATTGCACTTGCGCGATGAGTGTTAAGTGGTTGCTTTAGCATAATGGGTAACAATATGTAGTGGACTCATTCTAACGCTTCCTGTGTAAATTCTGAGAAACTCATTGGAAAGTTAAGAGTGTTAGGGCTGCGAATAAATAATTGTGATAATTAGCAAAAGGTACTTTCTGGACTGCAAAAGGGACAATTAGTTGCCATCGGATCATTCTTTCCATCATGCATTGCGTGTCACATGACATCACTGCACTGTGTGCATACTGCACACAGCTTGTTTTAGACGAACTCGTAAGAGTTCAATTATGACGCAATGAGTGACTTTGGAGATGGTTCAGCAGGAGTCTCAGAAGGTAAAGAAAATATTTATCTTGCAATTTAAACAATTGTAGAAGCTAATGTTTTGGTAAACGTCTTTTAGAAGACATCTCAACATAGAAAATCATCTTTGAATAATTTTGTAATAATGATGTATGATATGATGTAATTTTTGTATGTCCTTTTATACTGATAAAACATGACTTAAACCCTTTCTGGACATATACTTTGTAGTGGTGTAGCATTATGAAACCGGTGACCTGACTTCAATTCCCAGCCACAGCTGTATGGTCAAACCACCCCCCATAACCAACATGGTGTGGAGAGGCTTTCAGCTAGCATTGGATTGACAAGGAGCTGTACATTAGTATAACTTATGTTGGTGCAATGGCATATTTTGTTGGGTGATGGTGTGATTTGAAGTCTTCAAATCACTATCAAAGGCTGTGAAATAAAATCCTACTCAGGGGGTCCACTTTGCCTATATCTCCAGCTTTCTTAAACAGTGGTTGTCTTATGGGATAAATTTGCCCCTGCCATGGCAATGTGTAATTTACATCACTGGTTCAGGGCTGACCACTGCAGAGGAGTTGCCATCCCATTGTTACATTGAGCACAGACACATTTTGGTTGTGTTTTCGTTTTCTCCAAACCACCTTGGATTGCGAGCATAATTTGTTCCGGAAACGTGCCCGTTATCCAAAGAACTCGTATAGCAAAGCGAATTTCCCCATAAGAAATCATGGAAATTCAGATGATTCGTTCCACAACCCAAAAATACTGTATTCGTATAAAAATGATTAATACAAAATACTTTTTTATATTTTTATTATTTAAATTTAATATAAAGTAATCAAATGTATTAATTACATTTAATCGTGGCTGGTGTGAGGAAGACGAGAGAGAGGAGAGGATGAGGAGGGTTATTGTGTAGGACGACTTTCACTTGCAGTACAGTTACTAAAGAACAGTTGCTACACTTGGACACAAAATTAAAAAAATGCTTTACGCACACACACGTGGTCACAACACTATAGTACTGCAGTAAACAGTATACACGTGGTCACAACACTATAGTACTATAGTAAACAGTATACACGTGGTCACAACACTATAGTACTGTAGTAAACAGTATACACGTGGTCACAACACTATACTGTAGTAAACAGTATACACGTGGTCACAACACTATAGTACTATAGTAAACAGTATACACGTGGTCACAACACTATAGTACTATAGTAAACAGTATACACGTGGTCACAACACTATAGTACTATAGCAAACAGTATACACGTGGTCACAACACTATAGTACTATAGTAAACAGTATACACGTGGTCACAACACTATAGTACTATAGTAAACAGTATACACGTGGTCACAACACTATAGTACTATAGTAAACAGTATACGCTCGCACGGATGTTGACTATACGAGTGAGGCACGCCGACTGAGACCGAGCATGGGAGATGATTACCCACAATCCCGCAGCGAGAGAGAGAGAGAGAAGAACCATTGGCTCAGTTGTGATCACGTGATGCTCGGCAGACAAAGCGTTATACTCTACGTACTGCTCGTATTGCAAGACATCGCTCGTTTATCAAATCATTATTTACTTACAATTTTTGCTCGTCTTGCAAAACACTCGCAAATCAAGTTACTCGCAATCCAACGTTTCACTGTATCCTGTAAACAATGATAGCATTGGTACAAACTGATGCAGATAATGAAATGTTATGGTAGCAGTTTGTGAGTTGCTTATAAAAACCATGGTAATTACAGGTGTATAGATGGAATGGGTTGTAGAGAATCGCTCTACCCACAATATTAATGTTTATGAAAATATATAATGAAATAAAAACTTACATCCTATTGTGAATCCATTGCTGGATGAAGGCCCCTCCCTACACCGTGTTTGTTTGACCATACTTCTCTATGCTGGTCAGTGTTGGTTGGTGAAGGGGATCCCAGGACCAATTCAGATGTCACTCTCCTCTATAATGTTGCCATGGCCGGGAATCGAAGTCAGATGGCTGGGTTTGTAGCGCAGTGCACAAACCAATGCACCACTGCTCTACCCTCGTCTGAATTGATGATTTTTTTTATTTTAGGTTGCAGACTGTGTTGCTAAAGATGGATATCCTGAGCCCAAGATTGTTTGGTTTAAAAATTCGAATCCAATCATCGAAGGTAATACATTTTCATTGTGCATATGTAGTAATTATATACTGCCAAGTGTGTCTGAAAGATAAAGTGTTTGCACTTTTATGCGTAATTTCATTAGGTACTTTTCAATTAAAATTGAGAGTAATGTATTAGCTCATGGCTCCATCTGTCTAATGGGGTCACAATAACTGCTCAAGGTGATTCAATGTGATAACTTTTTTTTATAATAAAGTTGTGTCGCTATTCGAGGCTTACCCTCTAGAATCAGACCAATTTGAAAAAAACTTGCTCAAAACTTTCCGATAAAATCGGTGCTAAAAATATTTGCTTTTCTGGCCAAGGTGATGACAATATGCGTCGTGTGATGTCAGCTCGTCTTGCGGCTTGGAAAGTTAGGTTATTATGGATAATTACTTCCGAGGACAGACACATGTTGGAAAGGGTTCAAGAATTTGCGTATGTTTTCTTCCTTTTAATGAATAATGTTTTATATTGTGTGTGCGATTCATGTTCTGTGTGGAAATGTGTATTTTTGTTATGAAAATGAGTAATACTTAAAACAGGCATTACGTGTTCATAGCATCATTTGATTTAATTCTGAGACTTTTAATAATAAGGAGCATGTCATTTATACAATACATGTGAAAATGTTTTATATGTTTATTATATCTATTCCTATTTGTCATTCAGAAAGTGTAGCGATGTTGCTGTTATTATTCACCATGGTCAAGTCCTGTATAATATTTATGAAACTTATTTAACTAAAGCACAAATTACATACTTGACAATCAATTTAACTCATGGAAAATCGTGACTTATGTTTATTTTGGTTTATACTTTGGTTCTTTCGGTAAAGTCACGTTTTTTACTTTATTTTTACCTACGTGACTTTACCGAAAGAACCAAAGTGTATGGATCATTGCAGTAACGAAAACTTCAAATCTATAATTATTTTGGTTTATGACAAAGTGTAGTTTGTAAGTAGTAAGCTGCCAGTTTTTAAACCCTTGTACCGCATACTGATTTTCAAAGATAATCAATCGTCACTTTATTTTTTATATTTTTACTTCACGAAGCTTTCTGCTTTCAAAGGCGGTAAAAGGGCTTAGAATCGTCAGTTTGCAGATACATCGGTAGGGTTGGCAAGTATACAATTTTTAAGTCCGAATGAGAGATAAATATCACAAAAGGCTTGATCAAGAGCTTTGTCGAATGACTGAACTTGTTTCTGGTCAGATGCGGAGGTCATGCCGGTGGTGACAAAGAACAATCAAGGTCTGTTCACGGTGACCTCTGTGCTGAGGATGCGACCCCAGAAGACTGACAAGGGCAGCTTGATCAACTGCTGTGTCATGACCGGTGGTGGAAACACTGAAATAGAGGCTCCGCTGGCAACGATGGTCACAATTCACTGTACGTTTCCTGCTCGCATATTCACCACGTTGGATATCTTGCCCTGGGGGTCATGGATAAGGCTATTAATTTCCGTGGTTTAGCCAAGGACAGTCACGGGTTCAGAAAGGTTTTACCGGTATCCCAACGCTCTTTGTAAAGATGTGCATTTTTGTTCTGGTTTAAAATCCGATCCCTGTGTCGTGTGGGTTTGCCACCTTCGCATCCAGTGAAAGGGGATACAATTGAGTGCAAAATGATGCATTAATTAATGTATACAGCCATTTTGTCAATCCACTGCTGGATGAGGGCCTCCCCATGCCATGTAGGTCTTGGGATTTATTCGAGCATACTTCACCATGCAGGTCAGTGTGGAATGATTAAGGTGGGAAGCATTGACAACAATGGATGTTGTTGCACTGCCCTCTGCTGTCCACCACATAGCCTTGCAGCCTATCATACCAGTATAATGGTTGCCCATCCAAGCAAGTTCCGAGTTCAAACCTGATTAGCTTGCAAGGTCTGAGATCGGGTGCATTACCGGTGACTTGGTCAAAGGCCAGTACAAATATATATGGGGCACTTTAGTCTATAATGCAACTGTGACAAAATTCCTGTAAATTGTTACAATTTTTTTTTAAAATAAATACCAAAAGGATGATGTGCCAAGTCGATCTCTACCTGGGATTTAAACTTGACATGTTCCACTTGTTTCTCAAGGGCACAAACTGAAGCAACAGATATACGTTGCGTGCTTTCATTGCCTCTTGCAGATACGATGTAATTACAAGTAAATATATATTGCAGATGGTGCCATGGTTGGCACAGTTGCTTTGCAATCTGATGTCTCCACTTCGATTTCCAGGTGTAGCAGTTGAAGTAATGGCCAAATTACTAAAATCCCCCAACCCCCGGGCCTCTGTCAATCTGGCAGTATAAATGAGTCGATCACAGTTGGCAGGTCGCGTGTGGTGGAGTAAAGTGTAAGTATTCCACCTTCTTCCAAGAGGGTCTGTCCAGCATGCAAGAGTGGAGCAAACACCCTCTAGATGCGCTTTTTAAGAGTTCCTTCTAGTTGAGACTATCCTGCCAGCAGTGCCGTGAGCAAGTTGATGCAGGGCTCTTGGAGCGCCATGGTGGCAAAATGTTAAATACCTCGCCCGGTATGTGGGAGGTCGGGGGGGTTCAATCCCAACCCTGATGCCTGTGTATATTTAGAGTTTGCACGTTCTCCCCATGGTTGCGTGGAATTTTCTCGGCGTCCTTCGGTTTAGAATCGACGTGTGTGCATTTCGAGTATTTGGCTGCTATAAATTTCCATGTAATAAGCCACTGCGTTGAGCAATGATTTGTGGCCTGGTTGCTTCGGAAAAAGAGCTATATAGCTCAATTGGCCTTACCTGGTCAAATAAAAGTGGCTTGCTTCAGGTATATTTTGTAACCCGTTTCTTTATGCCGTACTTGCAGATCCTCCCGAAGGTGTAAGCCTCGAGGTGTTTCCGAACTTCATCAAGGAGGGAGACACCGTCACGCTGACCTGCGTCACTGATGCTTTCCCACCTCCCACTTACGCCTTCTTCCAGGTGCGTGTGCTGGGCATCTTCTGTTGTTGATTCGTTTGCTAATGAAGCCGCTAATTTAATTCCACCAGTTATTGGTTAAAAAGTATGTATCCTTCTTTATAAATAACAATGTATCCATCGTCCAATAAAGCAAGCTCTCCACTTTTTTATTGTTGAGAGTTACTATTAACTATTTTAATTTTACCAAGTTCGGCCCACTGAGCTATATAGCTCTTTTTCAGAAGCGACCTGGCCACAGATGATAGCTTAACGAAGTGGCTTCTCACATGGAAATTTATATCGGCTAAATATGTAAAACGCAATGTTCCTAAACGCGGAGGGAAAAACCGGAGGACCCAGGGAAGAATCCACTCGACCATGGGGAAGGAGACGTGCAAACTCCAAATATACAGGTGTAAGGGTCGGGATGAAAACCACGACCTCCTGCATACCAAGCGAGGTAGTTAAAATCTCGCTACCGTGGCGGCCTCAAGTTAAGGACTCAATCTGACTGGAAAGAAGCAGGGGGCCTCTGGTCTTGCTGTTTATTACATGACATGACGCAGGTAAAAAAAAACGGAATTCAAGATGCATTATGCTTTCATTCCACCAGAAGAGAGCGGCATATTTTGACTTTTAATATTTGTGATACAAGCCCATACCAGCCTATCCTACGGACAGGGGGAATTGTATAAAAAAAAATGCAGTCCTTAATATGGAATAACTTTTATCTGTAGATCTGGTCTGTCAGTTCGTCACAGCGTTTTTGTCATACAGAGAGGTCACAAGTGACCCGGGTGGTTGAGAGCAAAGCCTAGCCATGCTTCAGCGCACTCATGCAGTATAGTTTTATTAAGGATTGTAGTTTAGCAAACGAATGACCCTATGCATATGACATTCTGGTGCTGGCTTGTTATCAAATATGCTTTCTAGTATTTGTGGGTGAAATAAAGTAGCAGGATGGCAAACCAGTCAATGAATGGAGCCTTTTTTTAGTAATGGGATTCCTAGGAAATTAAAAACTCGCACATACAAATGAGTAGACACGGACATACACATGCATGGACATAAAACAAATACTTTACAGGTGATCAATAATAGCATGTTCTGTGGCAGTTTGGGTACTGCACCCTGAGCGAAGGATTTCTCCTGCTGGGCCAGTTAAATGTGTGAGCTTGCACCGACACGGGCATTAATTCTTATGCGTGTGTGCTGGTATGCAAAATGTAAATGCTTTTTTGGAAATACCGGTTTTTTTATTGTCAGTCTTGCAAGAAAAGCCTCCAGATATGAGAATAGGTATGTCAAAGCTGTGTGGTAATTTCCAAATTAATTGGTTTAGTAGTTTTCATGAAAGCTTGTGAAGTGTTCTCAGATGGATGGATGAATGGACAAAAACCAATATTTTTCAGGTGTGGCAATAGTTCCATCAACTTTGTTAAAATTGCAGATGCATGGAATATATTTAAATTCTGCAGACTTGGCAACATACGGAGGTTAAAGACAAAATTAAAACTTTTGATTTAAAGCTTTCGTGACTGCAGGGATTCATATTCTTGGTTCTTTCGGTAAAGTCACGTAGAAGGGAAACAATAAAATACTAAAAATATTAAACAATTTTTTTTTTATTTTTTATTATTTTAAAACAACTCTTAAGAAACGTACGTGGGTTTGGGCAGGATTTGTCACTAGATGATGGCTGATGGTTAACAATAGTGGCGGACCGTCGGCTAAAGAATGGAATGCATCCAAGACGCTGTCAACCAAGGAAATGGATTGATGAAATCATCATGTGTGTGTACTGTGTAATATTACTACATCACAGAACTGTGAGATGGCAGCGGCTTTGTGAGGCTTTAATACAGCAGTGGATTGATCCTGGCTCATGATGATTATAACTTGGGAAACTTGTTTTGTTAAAATATACATATACGGACAGTCCTCGACTTGCGAGTATGATTAGTTCCAGAGACCCGTTTGTAAGTCGAACGGCTCGTAAGTCGGAATATGGTAATCGACTGTATTTAAATGCCCCCACACACACACAAACACTCTTTCCCGGCACGAGGCCGACTCATCGCATCTTGCGGAGGATCGCTCAGCCGAACAAAAAAGTGCCGCGGTTCCATTTTCAAGTGAGAGTTCGTGTTTTAAGTCAATGTTTAAAAAACAAAAAAATGCATGGAAGCTGGTTCTTAAGTGCGGGTGTTGTAAGTCAGGTTTTCGTAAGTCGAGGACTGTATGTATAACTTGAAACATGAATTTCATTCCTGCTTCAGGGGGAAACTCTGCTTGCCGAGACGGGTAATAAGAACACGTTCAAGATGCCGTACATCAATCGGCGTCAGGGCGGAGTCTACAAGTGCGAGGCTCGTTACACGTCCTCACCCATGCAGACCACAGCCAAGGCAGAGCGCCAGATAAACGTGCATTGTAAGTACTCGTGTTTAACACAACAACACTCTGTGTCCATTATAAATGCATCGGTGGTAATATAAATGGACCTGTGCGTCTTGTCTGTGTTTTACCCCAGATATTGAGAGACTACGAATAATGGGCATTCCCGATGGGGAAGTCAACAAAGGGGATAACATCACGATGACGTGCAGCGCAAGCTCATCTGGGAATATCACCTACCATTGGAATAAGGTACAACCCATGGACTCATTTAAGTCGGATCTGTCCAGAATTGCAACCTGGAAAACATTTTCGCACCCGTCACAACTCATCCAGTATACCTCTTAATGTTTGGCTACTAATCATGTGTTTACTTAAGTCTATCAGCGACCTGAAAAATATCCAATGAGAATTTAAGCTCTGGGTGTTATTTTAGTTCAGCTATCAGAACATCACAATTGTCAATATGTCATCATTGATTAACACATTCCTGCGGAGGGAGCTGGTAGGAACGTTGGGTTGCTCGGTCAATGGCCAGGGTCAACGGCGGCACCACGTGGTGTATTCCGCAAATATGCCCGACTGTGAGGGCGGGCACAAGTCGGCGTGAGTAGGTGAAACGTTGAGTTTTATAAGGGCACCACGGGGTGACCAGCCCCTCCCCACCCAGCCCCACCCCTCCCAGCCCCCACCCAGCCGCACCCTCCCCACCCTCCCCACCCAGCCCCTCCCCACCCAGCCCCACCCAGTCACACCCCTCCCACCCCCCACCCTGCCACACCCTCCCCACCCTCCCCTCCCCAATCAGCCCCACCCTCCCCACCCAGCCCCACCCTCCCCACCCAGCCCCACCCTCCCCAACCTCCCCACCCAGCCCCTCCCTCTCTCCCCACCCAGCCCCTCCCCACCGTCCCCTCTCCACCCAGCCCCACCCCTCCCATTTTTGGATGCACGACGGACGGACACAATAATCCCCTGTGGGCTGGTGTAACCAGGAGGTTTCTACCAGTATTATCTTATGTCATTTTAACTCCGGTTCAACGTCTAATTTACACAAATACTGATATTACAACATTAGTGATAATTATCATTATGATTGTTCATCTTAAGTCATGGTTTCATCAATGACATCATAACGATCATTGTAATGATTTGTAACACCTTCATCAATGTTTTTTTTAATGGGGTTGATTGGATGAGGAGGGGATTAATTCTATAATCCCGAAGAACTGAACTTGCTTCCGTGACTAAAGCCTTGCTGGTCTTTCATTTGATCATGTCTGAATGCCATGCCTGAATTAATGTATTAATTATTAACGTAGTTTTTATATTCGCAAGTTATTTGAGATTTGATTGTGCATATAGGACATGAATTGTTAGCATGCATTTAACGACTGCTAAAATATGTATGAATGAGGCTCATTTGTAATGATTTTCGCTTGTGAAGGATGGCGAACGGAAAGAAGATGGCCGCATTCTCAGTCGCCTACACGTGACCTCATACGATTCTGGGTCATACACGTGTGTTGCTCAATTGGCTGAAGGCTCGATGTCTGTGGACGAAACAGTGACCATCACCGTGAAGGGTACGCACAGCTCACAACTCAACCTGCCTTGTACATGTGTGCCCTCTCACCCCAAGACAACCATTCTGGTGTGGAAAATGTATACGTACGTATGTATGCTGAACCTTCGCACCGCACGAGGCAAACCGTGCTAATCAGAGGTGCGGGGGGGAGAAGGACAACAAATTTAAACACATAAAGCAGTTCTGAAGAAATGTGACAATTTTGAAACAAGTTTTCCAAGAAACTTTCAGCAGTCAAGTATGCATGGTGAATAGTATTTTTACGTGGGCAGACATCGGTCTGTTACACATTTGGGAAGTGACCATATGGATGATTGGTTTTAGTGGAAGGATGAAAACAAGGGGTAGTGGAAGTGATAGTGTCATTTTAATTCGGAGGTGTAATGTTCTAAAATTCCATTACAATTAAAATATATCGAGTTTCAAAGATGGTAAATGCTCATCAGGTATGCTGAGATTCAATTATAAACATGACCTCATGAAATTTCATTTCTCCCTTCTTTTGTGCATTCCTTTACTTTGTATGGCACGTGTTTAGAATGTGAAATAGCTTTGATTACATTGTGCCTGTCTGTGTGGTATGTTTAGGTTTAGCGATATGGATCATAGGAGCATGTATTGCTGCTGCTGCTGTCATATTAATAGTGCTAATAACCGTTCTGGTTATTTGCAGAAAAAAGTGAGTATCACCTTCCTTCAGCCATGCACACTTTATTTTCACTGATCTGTGAAAAGACCAAATCTAGAATTACCTTGCTACTTACTCACGGAGTGAGTAAGACGTATGGTATCTAGCGCAGTGGTGGCCATGGGTATAAGACCCTGACGCCTATATATGTGGAGTTTGCGTGTTCTCTCTTGTGGATCTTTTTCTGGGTCCTCCGTTTTTTCTCTCCACATTTATAAATATGCTTTAGAGTATTTGGCTGCTATAAATGTCCACGTGATAAGCCACTTAATTGGGCTATCATTTGTGGCCGGCTTGCTTCTAAAAAAAGTGCTATCTAGCTCAGTGGGCCTTACCTGGTAAAAATAAAAAAAATAAAAATTCCATTTAGCTTTAGTTAACAAATTGATGAGCTACTTTGTACGTTGTTGTTTTTGCCTATTGCATCTTGGCCTGTTACTCTGCGTTAACGCTTCACGCGTTCTGCTGGTGGAGCTCTTGCTAATGTCGTGCTTGCACATGTGCGTAGCAAACGGGGTGAGATGAACTTAAACGAAGACCACAGCGACACCATGGCAGCAGGGATTCCATTGAGATCAGTTGAAGAAAATGGTGCAGGAGAGAAGGATTCCACGACTGACGCTGAAATCCCAGCAGGTATACCTGGTACGTAACTGTAAGTACAGAAAGTTATTGGCGCACAGTGGCCATATGCACCTTTACAAATGCACACTTTTTCACCGCCGTCGTGTAACTACGCCGCTAATACGCGCGAGTGCATACACGTTTCAATAAGGAAATAGTAATATTTACGTACAAACCGTACGCGTGCATGTATTAACTACAAATGGACATTTTCGCTGTAATATATATATGGGGGTGGAGGGGTAGCGCAATAAATAACCCATTGGAATGTGAGCTATGAACCCGTTAACTCGCGTTCAATTCCTGGCCACGGCTAACACCAGCGGCGAGGGATATCTGAACTGTTCCTGGGCAACCACCTTCATTCACCAACCTGTACTGACCGTGGTGAATTATGGTCAAGTATACCTCTGTGTCCAAAAGGCATGGGGGAAGGGCTTCATCCAGCGGTGGATCGATAAAGTTATATACATTACATTACTGTAATATACATAATTTTGGACATACATAAATAGTAGAAAAGAGCATGTTTGGTTAATGCTGACGTGATGCCTTGTGATAGGTGTTTATTTGTTTTTTGAACATCTTAAAAGCATATATTGCCAGAAAAGCAGAAGCATATTCGTTTTCATACCTAAAATAGTTATTTCAAATTACTATGCTGTGAAGTTTGTGCACGAGATACATTTTTCTTCTCAATTTATTTACAGATGTCATCATTAATACATGATATGTTGTGCTCAACTCAAAGCCACAATGATGGTCAGCAGAGGATTACCTTCATAACAACACACCTCAAATTTAGATTTAAAGCTTTCGTGACTGCAGGGATTCATATTCTTGGTTCTTTCGGTAAAGTCACCACGTAGAAGGGAAACAATAAAATAAGAAAAATATAAAACAATAAAATTCTCACGACGTTTCGACTGCAACACAAGAAATCATCATCATCATCAGGTGTGAAAACCACAGCAAGAAAATTTGAAAAAGTGGCGGTTATTACACACCTCAAGGTTGGATCTCGTCTGATAGCTCAGCCATTGTGTGCTTGACTTACACTGCTGAGTTGTACCAGGTTCCATTCCCACTGTTGCCTGGCCCATGGCATTGGGGCAACAGAATTTCCTGCCTGGAGACCATGGATGGCCACTGACAATGTCGACTAAATATTTGCACTGAATGTTGCATGTCTGCGGACGGGAAAACATTAATATATAACAAATTCACATTTGAGTCTGTTAATCATGTGCTGCAGCTGAATTGTGTTGGCGATGATGTATGCATTTATTGCCAATATGCAAACTGTGCCGTTGGAGTTAAGGACTGAGATGAGGAAATGCCCATCTTCAACTCCCAACAGTCGGAAGAGAATCATGTGATACGCCACAGAAGCCACTGGGGGATGATGCAACAGAACTACTTCAAGTTTATCTCTACAGCAGACCTTTCATCACCATTAACAGCCAAGATCAATGCGCTGCTGGATGAAGGCGTCCCCCAAGCTCTCCCCATTCCTCAAAGTCTTGATTAACCCAGCACTAAAACAAATAACTACATGCATATTAATGATCGTTGTTTGTGCACCGTGATTTGTTGCCTTACATGGTTCATCCATTTACAAATGTCGATCTTTAAATGTGAGCTGGGCTAATAATCTTAATTCTTGGGGGGCAATTTAGTGCCACAGTGAACACATTGATGGCCTCTCTTGGCAATCGTGGTGGGAATGATTCAGGTGCCCCTGGATCTCAGCATGGCTGGTACTAAATTCTTAACTGTAGGGGAAGCATGGAAAGCTGTAGCTTTAATATCATTGTCCATACAGAAATCACCTTAATGTATTAAATTAGTTGGCATTCGAGCTGCTGAAATCGGTTACAGAGAGAAGCTGCATGCTTGAGCCTCCTGATGGTGAACTGAACCCATCCAGACGACGGCTCCAGACTTGAGACATCACACTACTCAATTTAACATCCAGGTGCTGCCCTCTATCCGCACAGACAGACAAAGATCCCCTGTATCGCCTGAACAGACTGTTGGGGCAAATGCTGTAGGCAAGCACCTGGAAAGGCTGGCACGGCGCACGAGGGTGTTGGTGGACAGTCCCACAGGCCATTTGCATGTACGTTTAAGTGCTGTTCTTCTGCAATGCTGGTTTTTACACACTGCTATGATTTAACGGGCTGATTTGATTGACATCACTGCGCATAAAAGTCAGGCTCTGAACTAGGGTTTTAAGAGATGTTCGTCTTGACATCCCTTGGAACAGTTGCCGAGCCACCCGGCCATATGTGACTTATCATTTTGAGGTGTCGCTGGTTAGGAAGTCACCAGGAAATGTACTTTTGCATTTGTTATTCAGCTACATGTGTTATTCAGCTAGATGCCTGACATTTCACTGACCGTGCTTGGAGAATCTTCAGGAACTGAATATTGAAAACACCGGAGCTATACAGCACAAACCCAACAATCTACGTAATGTGTGTATAATTGCAGCTTGGTTAGTCTGTAAACCTGCATTAATATTTTTTTTTATTGCAGTTTGTGTCCAAGTGGAAAGTGTGTGTGTACATATTTCCATTTTTAATATTACCACTCAGTATTTGTGTACTTTCCAAGAAGTTGTGGTTGTGCATCAGCGTTGAGTCATGAATGGTGAGAAGATGTCTAATGTGATTACGTGGCAAGGGAAATTGGATTGTACAATAGGGGAAGTTGTGTCTTGAAGACTGGCCATCCATTTGCCTTCTGCATCCCTCGGTATACAGAACAGATTTTCCTGAGATGTTGTCTCTAAAGCGAAATTCCACAAATCGCACCCTATTTTCTCATTCACTTTAAATTATAATTGGAGATGCGTTACTAACAGAAAAGAATTGGGCCCTAAGACGACGTAAAATTTCACTTAAGAATGCAGCAAACCTTTGCCAGAAGCTGGTGATTGCCGTGTTAGGAGGAAATTGCTTTTTGGTTTCTTTTTGTTGTACTTCTGCAATCACTTGCACTCAATGGCCTCTTTCCAGACATCTGGACTTGCACCGAAGAACGTTTAAAAATGAAATGGTTAAATCCTGTGCAGTGAGTACAGCACTGGGCGTGATCAACACAAAGGGAAAAACAAGGCGAGCTTGAGCGACGTGAATAATGCCGGAAACCAGTCGAGGTTGAAACTAGTGCGCCTCGTACAACGCTATCTGGAGCAAGTCGTGCATCGGGACAAACGCCAGACTGTGCGTTGGTCGACCCCCCCCCCCCCACCCCCATTCTTTAAAAAAATAATTCAGAGATAAAAGAAATTCCGTAAATGTGAATATTTTCGTAACTGTATATCGAATTTGTTGCGCAATGTATAAGTTGCGTTACAGCGAAATTCCTCGCGCCGTATGGAGGTGCTGAATACACGAGGGATGGCTACTGCTCAGAAGACGATGGGCGTTATGACCCTCAACATCGCTGGTGAAAATGTCCCTGTTATTTATTACCTTAAACCTCTTTCATCGTATAGAAAATGACCGATTCATATTTGTTAATAACAATGAAGGTGCGTATGCACTGGGTTTGTGGTTGGACTTGTGCAAGTGCTGTTTCCTTCGGCCGCATGCATCGGCAGATTTTGTGAAACTAATTTCGCTACATTTTTTGAATGATAGTTTTGCTTGCATAGGAAGTAGTTTTGCTTTTAATGCATGGCTTGGTTAACCAACTAATACCGACTTGCTGTATTAAGAAATCACACCTGGTATAATATCGAAGATGGTGAGCCCATAGGTTGCTAAGGATCTTGCACTGTGGGGACTGGGGGATTGACATGGCATGTAGCAGCCGGCTGGTAAAGGACTGCTATGACGTACATCAGGACTTCAAGAATCTTCATTAATATTCGGCGACCATATCGTGGATCATGTGACCCGTGGCACACCGCGGAGGTTAATCTTGAAATCTATTAAAATATTTCACGCCGGCACGGTGTGCCACAGATTGTGCTGGTAAAGTGCTGCGCAACTCCGTCAAGCCACATCAAATGTGCGATGATCGGGGGAGAACGATGCGTGACTAACGACTCCATCCTATATACATTTGTGAATTATAGTAGATATTTTTTTTATCTACGATGATAAATCTGCCATATTGGTCTATGATTTAACAATTTTAATTGAAATGAAATTATAAAAAAAAATGTGCAATGCATCGAAGTTTGTCTTTTTGCGGCTCCGTTTGGTTCTACAGTTCTTGTCTCTGCAGATCCGTTGTGTCTGCAGTTCTCCTTGTGCCACTGCAGATGCGTTGTCTCTGCAGTTTCACCTCTCACAAAAAAAATCACTGGTGAGAGACATCTTTGCATTACGCAGAGAGACTTGGTTGAGTGATTGGATTAGAAGCCAAGGCAATGCCTGCTTTATGGAAGTGGTCACGGACCACAGGTAATCCACGAATTACAAGGATTCGTATTTTTTTTAGATTTGCTGTACATCGCTGTGTCATTGTTTTATTTACATTGATATAGAATTTCTTAGGAATGGTCAGCAAAATAAAATGTCACTAAAGTCGGGTATCGTTTGTATGTAGGTGTGCGTTTTATTTGAAAGGTTTGTTTTTGCCTTTGTAATGTTGCACTTATATAAATATTAAAACTGTGTTCACATTTTAGTCGATCTCTGTGTGATTGTCATGACAGTAGACCACAATTAAAAAAAAAGTTATGACTATACTGTACATATTCTAGTGCAGTATATGCGTGTTGAGCAGTAATGACAGAAGCTTGGTCACAATTATGTGTCTGACAATTAACTTTTGTCAAACACGGAGTATTGCCAAAGGCAGTATATGCTGGCCAAACATGCACCACAGGTTAATATCACAGCATGCCTTTTTTAACCTTGAGACATGGAATAAATTATCAATAGTAGCAGCAATGGTAAATCCATTACTGGAACAAGGTCTCCCCAAGCCTATGATGTAGCACTCCACTCGGCACCTGTACATGAGCTAATTTCATTGCTCCATCGAGATGAATATCCTCAGGTTGCATTCTATACCTCAGCTGCCACTTATTATTCTTGACCATCAGCTATGTGTCCTGCACAATCCCACTCGTGTAATAAACACAGCTTACGATATTGTAAAACAAGAAAAAAAGTTTGGTGTTGCAGGTGGAGGAAATGTGTAAGAGGCCACGACCTACGTCCTGTAGTATCATCCTGTACAATAATAACGAGTGGGGCTTTTGAAATTGAAGGAGTGTGATTGCTGATATATTAACTGATCAGCATAGTCAAATTTAGATTTTAAATCTATTGGCAGTGATTGTGGAATGTCTAGGCAAACCCTTTCCCAATGCGCTGCTGGACGATAGACTTCCTGTGGCGTGTCACGAATGACCATAACACTCCTTTGATCGTGTCACACGCTGATTTGGCCATACCTTACCACACTGATCAATGTGAGGTTGTAAAAGTGGAGCCCTGGCCCGGTTCAGCTATCACCCGCCACTCACGTTGGCAGGGAATCAAATTCGGGTCGTCTGGTTCAGAGCGTTGTGCCCTAAACCAGTCTTTACCGCTACAGGCCATATTTAATGTGCCGGTTGCAGTATCTCACCTTACACTGGCCATGAGAATCTAAGTTACGTGTAGCCAGGTGCGGCTTTTATTTTATTTTAAGTGAATGCAATGGCCATCAGGAATTGCACTCGGAGCTCCACGTGCACAGTCGAGTTGCGAGGCACGTCCCCGCAATTTAGATTTGGCCGGATTCCGTGCTGGCGAGATTGAGCTGCGGTGTTGTGGCGCCGAGGGTGAGTGGTCGCTATTGCACAACACTTTCAAATAAAGTTTTGCCGTTCGACAAACCTCTGGTGCTCAGCTATTGTGGCGTGGCCCACAGGACAGAACACGACGCGAAGTATTTACTCTGAAGCCTCCGAACTTTGTTTCATTGTCTATTTGGCCGACCTGTTCCACCTCGTTAGGGAATAGAGGGACAGGGCGGACCTGCTACATCTGCTAAAGATCTACTTTGTTCACACTCTTGGACAATGTTTATTTATTTGACATGAGGGTTATATGACGAAAATTCCACTCAATGTAAACGGATAACTAACAAAAACCGAGACCTGTTAGAATAGCCGGTGTATTGCTGCATGGACCACTGATCCAGCCATTCAGTTGGGCATAAACAGTGCCTCTTCAGGTTGTGAGTTGAAATGATTGGTCACGGTCGACTCTGTCAATGCTGTCTGCAGTGTGGTTTAACTGATGGAAGACCCATTTATTGTGAATTGAAAAAGAATACTACATGTTTACACTCGATATTTCATGCAGCCACAATTCGCTTGACAATCGATACTAATCCATGAACTGCTTAATACATATACCAGTGCAAAGATATAAAGGAAAAACAACTCTCGATTTAAAGCTTTCGTGACTTTACCGAAAGAACCAAAGAAGAAAATCAACTCAATAATATTTACAGGCTCGTATATACCCTCGCACCCCCTTCTCTCGCTCCCACGGGCTTGTGTCTCCCACCGGTATATTTACCTTTTACCTCCTCCCCCGGCCTCCAATGATTGTGACATTTGTCGGGGAAACTCTAGTCACCAACACGCTGAGAGAGGTAAGGCTTCCAGTCCATTTATTTGATTTTGGTCACTCACCCAGCTCCCTCCTTCATGCACAGCTCTCTCCTCTCTCGTCCCTCCTCCGACGTGCCCTCCTATCCCCACGGCCCCCTCTCCCAAATCCCCATCACCCCACCTTCCCCCCCCCCCCCCATCGCTGTTGCCTCATTCCCAGCCTCCAATCACGCATTGTCACATCCCGGACAATGTTTCCACATCTCCCACCACCAATGTCCCGCCAGGGGTCCCTAAGATCTGGGGAGGCAGATCTTCTCTGCATTCTCAGGTCGAGGCTTTGGTCTATGGGTGACCAAGCTTTTTTTTTCAGTGTAGCCCCCAGTCTATGTAACGCTCTTCCACCAGATATCACAATCTCTGAGTTTGTGGACATTAAAAAAATGCGTCTTAATAACATTTATATGCCTCCGTTTCTTAAACTTTTAGTTAACTTAGTAATTGGATTATTAAAATGTATTTATAATATAAGTATGTTCATCTGCTGCTGCTGTGTCCTGTACAGCGCTTTGAGATCCTTGATGAGAATCGCTAATAGAAATGGAATTGGTATAATTATCGCCCTATGGCGAGCTTACTCCCGGTCATGTAGGTGCGGGGATTGACGTCAGCGTGTAGGGGGTAAGGGGCCGTCCATAAATGACGTCACGCACCTGGGGGGGAGGTCAGATATTTGTGACGATGGGGGGGGGGGGGTTGAGAAACGTGACGTCACATCAAAATGCGCAACTTTAAATAAATATAGACAACACGTTCTACTTAATTAAATAGACTTTTAATAAATGTTTTCTCCTACAACATCAGAGCGCAGCGCCACATTATATACGCACTACAATGACAATAGTTTAAAGCGATGTGAAGCATGTTTTATAAAAAAAAATAATTGGGGGGGAGGGGGGGGCAGAGCTTTGTGACGTCATATTTGAGGGGGGGGTCTGACTTTTTGTGACGCCGTGTGACCAAGGGGGGGGGGGGGGGCAAAAATCGTCCAAAATCGCGTGACGTCATTTATGGACGACCCCTAAGGGAATGCTGTGAGGTTGCGGGGACCGCTACTCATTGACGAATTGATGAATTGTTAATCGAATCACTTGGAAGGGAGGCGGCTGGGTGAAGCAGCAAATTGAATAATTTACTTCCCATTTTTAACGCACGAGTGCACACGCGAATTTTCCATCCGTTTAACACGAAGTTAAGAAATATTTTGCCAAGACTTCTTAGGAACAGAAAAATCTTAACATCCTGAGTTCACGTCACCGAGTTAATCAGGTTGAGCAAAGGGAGAAAAGTTGACTCCTCGCTCGGCAGTGTGATTTAAGCTCGACAGTGCAATGTTGCCATGCTAGGCCAGGGGTCCAGCATGACAACAAAGTTGAACACAAGATTTCGATTTAAAGCTTTCGTGACTGCAGGGATTCATGTGCTTGGTTCTTTCGGTAAAGTCACGTAGAAGGGAAATAATAAAGTGATAAAAATAAAACATTCTAAAAATTCTCACGACGTTTCGATTGCAACACAAGCCATCATCATCAGCTAAAATGCTCGTGTTGTAGTTTTCACACCTGATGATGATTGCTTGTGTTGCAATCGAAACGTCGTGATAATTTTTTTATTATGTTTCATTTTTATTATTTCCCTTCTACGTGACTTTACCGAAAGAACCAAGAATATGAACACAAGATGGTACTTAACGAATAACGTCAACCCATATTTTTTGTAATCTCTATTTTAAGAACAGCACAAGCACAGTGATGTGTAAATGCCGCATTACAAATTATTGTTCGGCTTTTAGACGTTCACCGTTCATCTAAAATAATTAGGTGGCTTTTTTTGTTTACTTTGCAGCCCTTAAAGAGTCGCATGCGGCTGCGGATGCTAACGACGCATGTGCTAGGCTTTGCGATGCCGCAAAACACAACTTGCAAACCATACATCTACTTACACACCCGTGCGTCTATTCCTGGCTGTTGAGCCTAGAGACCGTGCAGGAGAGTTTCCTATCCCTTACAATTTCACCATCGCCACCACCCTTTTCCGTTCCTTGGAGGCAGCGTTGAAAACAGAAACGCTTCCATTGTCTCACTTTCAGTTTAAGTACAATGGCCCATATTGGCTTCGCTTAATGGAAACACGTGAAAGTACTGAATTTAAAAGTTGTCCATGGTGGAATTCATACGACTGCAGGTTTAAACAAAAATGTTTTATGCGCGTTATGAATACAGTATTCATTTGTCTTTTTTTTTACAAAGGAGTTGTGTTCAGCTTTCACATACACTATTGTATTAAACAACGTTTTAACAAATGGTACCATGCGCCATTATAGGACAATTATGGTACCCTGGTACCGTTATAAAGGTAGATTGGCAACCAATGTGGTTTTCTCTGCAGAAGAGGATAGCATGTGCATCATGGAGAACTCCTGAGGAGTTAACTCGAGGAAAGTGGGGTGTGGACGGGCAGAAATGCAATGTTTTAGGATTGGCTGTCGAATCATCCGGAGATGAAATTACTTTTGTCGGAGAAGCATCTTTTCGGTGAGATCTTTCCTTACAATGTAGTTGTTTAGATATTAAGATTACTGGCTGCAATTGAGGTTATGCTGTTGCTGAGTTGTTATTGTAACATTTCCACATTTATTTATTTATCACCAGACATATATACTTCTGCAATTCCCTCAAGAGAGCCACACTTCCGTCATGTCAGGGGGTGGCTCTTGAAGGCAACACGAGAGAACTTTGCACTTCTGCAGGCGACCATGGTTGGCAATTCTAAAGCAGGAAAATAACAGGACATACCATTGAGAGTAGGAAGAATAAAATCTCACAATCGTGGAGAAGGGGAGAACGGCCGACGTTGCAAACACATTGTCCTGAGCGGTGTTTAACTCCACAACTCGACAAAAAAACACAGGACTTTTAATATCCCGAGAAGACTTACAACATTTCCCAGGATGTCTACTTCAAAACGAGGACGATCCTTGGAAAATCACAACAGTTGGTAACCATCTTAATCA